GCCGCCATCAGGGGATGCTGATGCTGGCCACCCTGGCTCCAGGATGTGCATGGAGGAGAGCGGATCCCCCTCCCCGGTACTGCTGAGCCCCCCTTTCCCCCATGCTGGGGCACCCTATGAGCCAGGCGGCGAGAAGGTCCCCATCTGGCGTGGCAGCGGGTGCCCCACGTCCCCCCCCGCTCTCTCCCACAGGACAGAGGATGTCCTCAATGTTCGGCAAACCCCGAGCTGGCGGCGAGCGGCCGCCCCAGAGCCCCCTCGCTGAATGCAACGTGGCCATCCTGGGGTGCCGAGGGGCCGGCAAGTCAGGTGAGATGGGTGCCCCGCCACCATGGGGACGGCTGGGCATCGGGGCAGTGCTGGTGCCGTGGTGCCGTGGGGGCACACCCACCTCACCTGCTTCTTTCACCTCCTGCAGCTTTGACCGTGAAGTTTCTAACCAAGAGGTTCATAAGCGAATATGATCCGAACTTGGGTAAGACGCTTTCTGTGCGGGTGTTTCCCTCTGGTTGTCCCCATGAGCTCCCACGGAGCATCCTTCCCGTCTCCTGCGTTTCCCACGAATATGGCATTTAAGGGGGGGAAAAAAACCAACACCCAAAATTACATGAAAAACAACGGAAGGGCTGGATTTGACCCAAACCCGCCTGTAAAAACAGAGGTGAAAGCAGCGCTCTCTCCACGGACATGTCCCATGGGGGAACATCAGCTCCTTGCATCACCCTGAAGAAGCTGAAAGCCGAATTATTGGGGGTCCTTGGGGAGCAACTTGTGCCTCCTGCTCACTCCTGGGGGTGTCGGGCAGGGGAAGGGCTGGGGCAGCGAGTGGGGGCCGCAGAGTGGGCGGCCCCGGGGGCTGCACTTTGCAGCAAGTAGTTCTGGGCTTTTTTTTTTTCCACTCGTTTGAATAATTAATAACTATTTTCCTAGGCCTGACTCCAGGGCGCGGGGAAGAACAATAATGATTTATAGGGGACATTAGGGAGATATGGACCTTGTCCAGGAACCGACTCCAGCCCCTAATAACTCAGCGACTCTTAGGAAAGAAGGATAAATCCTTTCCTCCTCGGATCTTTTTTGGGAATGTAGTTTCATCTTCCCACGTCAAAACCTTTCTGAAATGCATCCGTTAGGACTCAGCTGGGAGAAGGCATCTTTCTCCCAGGGGAACGGCTGAGCAGCTTTCCCTGCCTGCCCCCCTTCCAAAAGAAAGGGGCACTCCTTTTGCCTGATTTATTGGGAAACAGCCCCGGTGTCAAGCCCTGAGCTTGCTTTATCTCACCAGGTCATGGCATTTAGATAAGGGCTGAGCCTCGGGTGCAGTGATGGCCGTGCTGGCCTCCTTCCCCTCCCTCCTTCTCCCATGGGAGCCCATGCTTGCAGCATGCAGCGGGAAATGCAGTGGCTTGCCCAGCAGCATCAATGCCTGTCCCCCAAAATAATGTTGTCTCGGGAAGGAGCGAGGTGGGAGGCGTTGGTGGAGGACGTTCCTCACCTGGGGATGAGCTTTTTCCATGGTGCTCCAGGAAAGCATCCAGGGCTTTGCTTGGCTTTGGAGAAGACAGCACACCCCAGCCCGTCCTCACAACCACCCTTCTCCTTGCAGAGGACACCTATGCCTCAGAGGAGCTGGTGGACCAGCAGCCCGTGCTGCTGAAGGTGATGGACACCGCCGACCAGGTGAGGCACCAGGGCACTGCTGGTGCCAAACGCCCGGCATGACCCGTCTGGACCACGGCTGGACCACAGCTCAGCTGCTCCTCTCGCCCCCAGGACGGCCCCGGGAACTGCGAGCGCTACCTGCACTGGGCCAGCGCCTTCCTCGTTGTCTACAGCATCGATGATAGGAAGAGCTTCGAGGGCTGCCAGCACTACCTGGAGGTCCTTGCCCTGCACGTGAGGGGCTGCCAGCGTCGCTGCCCCGTGCTCCTGCTGGGCAACAAGCTGGACATGGAGCAGTACAGGTATCGGGCACGGGGCAAGGCTGTCTTTTCCTGGTGGGGGAGAGCTCACAGATCACCCCCCATCCCTCCGGCTGGGATGCAAAACCCAAATCTGTTTTTTTTGTGGTTATTTCCACTCCCATCGGTGTTCGCCACGTCCTCCTACATCTCCGAGGTTCCCGCTCTCCTGCCCAGGGCATGATGTGTTTATTTTGAGCCCGTTGGTATTTTCAGCGGGATGCTTTTCGGCTGCGTGGTAAGGCAGCGTCACTGTCCCCAGGCAGGGCTTGAGCCTGCTCCAGCTCCTCGCTCCCCTCTGGATGTGCCCTTTCCCTGGAGCCCTTTCTTGCCCCATCCCCGCTGCCAGGACTGGATGTCCCCAGTGTGTTTTTCTGGCCTTTTGTGTCACTCTGGGGCTGTGCTGAGTGTTGGTCCCATGGGTCCTTGAGTCACGCGCGTTGCTGAACCCCCCTGTGCATTGCTGAACCCCCCCATGCTCCCAGTACAGAGGCTTCCCCCTCCTCACGGCAAGGCCCCGCCCCGTCTCCTCCCCGTTTCCCAGTGCGCTGCCATCCCATCCAGCCCCCTGCGTCCCTGGCACGCGTCCCTGGCATGGGAGGTTGCATGATTCCCCAGGAACCCGTGCAGCCCGTTGCTCTGGGATTTCAGGAAAGGCAAAGCTCTTTTGGACTCATGTCCCCCGTTTGTCCCAGGAGGGGGGGATGAGTGGGTGCTGCCCCAGTGCTCACCGGGAAGCAGGCGTGGGATGCAGGGTCCGCTGCTCCCCGCCTGCACCCCTTGCTCCCCTTTTCGGGTGGTTGCAGCGCTCCAAGGGATGCTGCACCCGTCCCGTCCGCTCCCACCAGGCAGGTGCCCGCAGCCGAAGGGATGTCGCTGGCGAGCAGGTTCGGGTGCCTCTTCTATGAGGTGTCGGCGTGCCAGGACTTCGCCAGGGTGCAGCACGTCTTCTATGAAGCCGTGCGGGAGGTGCGGCACCAGGCGGAGCAGAGCCTGCCTGTCCGGCCACTCTTCATCACCGAGGAGCGTCCCTGCCCACCGGTGGCCACGCCGGTCACCCTGCCCACCCGCCATGGCTTGGCCAGCTGCACCTTCAACACCCTCTCCACCGTGAACTACAAGGAGATGCCCTCGGTGGCCCAGGCCAAGCTGGTCACCGTCAAGTCCTCACGAGCTCAGAGCAAGAGGAAAGCTCCCACGCTCACCTTGCTGAAAGGTTTCAAGATATTTTAGGACGCATCCCTGTGGGCTGCAGAGGGGGTGGCGAGAGACCCCCCGTCCCCCCGGCTCCGCAAGGGCTGAGACCATCCACGACGGACTCATGGGCACCGCAGCAGCTGCTGGCGGACGGTGGCCCCGGTCTCCGCACCGGGGCAAAGCCTGTGGTGACAATTCAGTGAGCGGACGGGGTGCTGAGAGTCCGAAACTGGCTGTGGCATCACTCTGCCTGCCCCCGCCCCGGCTCTCGTCCCCCCTGGCCGAGCACTGCCGCGATGTTTGCACCCTGTCCTGCCATCGGCACCGGGGGCCAGCCCAGTTTTCCGTGCGGATCCGTGCAGTTCCCGGAGCGGCCAGAGCCGCGGGCACCACCGGAGGGCGAGGGCCTTCCCCAGGGCCCCCCAGACAGCTTGGGCACCTGGCACACAGCGACGGGAGCCCAGGAAGGGGGAGTTAATCATTAATCAAGCATGGAGGCACCCATCTTGTTCATCTCATGGGTCTCCTGACCGAGCAATAAGTAGGAGGAATTTTTATTTTTTTTAATCCGAACAAGAAAGGTGCAGATATTGTTTCAGTCGGCTAAAGGCCTCAGGTGTCCTGAAACAGATTCCCATGCGTCGAAATAAGTCATACCAAAATAGCTGTTTTTTTAATCAACTTTTTACACTATAGTGCTCCTTTTCAAAGGCTTTGCAAGGAGAGATGCTTCACTGACAAGGACACACTCTGAAAAGCCTTTGTTTAAAAGACTGATGTATTTCCAAAAGTGTCTTGAATTATTTCATGGCTTCTACATGTGCCCAGCTAAGGGTGTGAAGTGAATCCTAAAGCAGAGCAGGCTCCACCTGTGCCCAAGCCAGGGACAAGGGCTGTGCGTTCGGCTGCATTTACTCTATCAGGTTAAATGTTCTGCTTCTTCCTGGAGTTGCAGTTACTCTGCAGAGTAAAATATCCACATGTATATTTGTACATATATACATATATATATATGACCTTAATGATAGAGAGAGAGATTCAATACGGGATTTCGATCAACCACTTTGGAAAGTATTTTAATAAAGATGATTTCTGAAAAGAACAAAAGCGCCTCCGCTTCAGTGTGGCTGTTTTCCTGAAGGGACGTGACGGCACGTTCCCTGACTGACTGCAGGAAAAGCCTCCCGCCCCGGCTCGGCTCCCACCCGTTCGCGGCAGAGGCAGGCGGCATCTGAGGGAGGGGGTGAAGCTGGCGCGGGAGAGAAGGCTGGAGGCAGCCAAGCGCAGCGGGGAAAGAGCAGCCAGCCAGGACCTGAACCAGGGGAGGCACGGGTTTGCCTCAAGTCCAGAGCCGCTTCTGCTGGTGCAGCTCTGCTGCTTTCTTTTTTTACTCTCTTATGTTTCCCCAGGCTAAACTGCATTTTTAAACTTCCATCACTACAAATTGAGACATTCTGATACATTCTTTAGGGCCTATATGGTTTGACTTCAGCTGCTGTTGTATGGCATCCTCAGATCTCTGTGTACAGAGACGTCACGGTCCCGTCCTTCCACTGGACCACCACTTCTCCTGATCTCTGATCCTGGAGCACCGGCTCCTGCTTTTGCAGTTCGGCCGGGCTGTATTCCTGCACAGGCATCAGGGCTTGCTTGGCCTCCAGCTCAGCCTGCTGGGTGGTTTGCACTGCTTCTCTATACATGTGGATCTTCCTTTTCCTGCAGGGAAGGCACAAAAAGGAAATGTGGAGTGAAGCGGCGAGCCCAGCCCCCACCCGGGGGCAGGCATCTACCCCCAGTGATGGGTACATTCACCTCTTCGCACCTTGGCCCTGGGAACACATTAGCTGCTTACGGGCAAACCCCCCGCCAGCTGCGCTGTGTCATGGGAGTGGTCTGAAGCGTTTGAGTACACACAGCCGCGGGGTTTGCACGTGGAGAACACACAGCACACAGCGCAAAGCGAGGCAGTAACATCCAGCAAGCCATCGTTAAAATGAGAGCACGGCAGACTTGTAACATTAGCTCTTCTTCTCTCATTTTAAGATGAAAGCTCTGACCCAGATGTAGGTTTTCTTGCTGTAGAAGACAGCAAGTTGCTCCTCAGCTGCAGGGTTGTTGTGCAGCAGCATGGCCCAGGGGAACACTGTGGGAATGCAGACGGGGAAAGGCTGGGGAGTCCTGCTCCAGAGCCCCTGTGCGCCCCTGTTCTTACGGGAGAGCACCTCACACCACACATTTAACATCACTTCCCTCCCAACAGCCCTGTTGCAGACTCTTCACCGGTGAGGATCCAGGGCCCGGAGAAGTGAAGTGGCTCGTTCCAAGTGACACACGAGGAGAGCAGGGAGTCAGGCAAGGTTTTACAATGAAGTACAGTTCAAAGGGAGTTTGTCTTTGCTTTTCTCCCCATTGCTCAGGGCTTGTTCCTGCCCTGCATCTCTGCATGCTGCCCTGCCCTGCCAAACCCACATGTCTGTCTGCCTGGGGGGAGGTCTCAGTGCACCACTACACACCAAAATACCCCCAAATTTTCCTGACTCACCTGTTTCGCACAATGTTAATGGCCAGGAGGAGAAGACCCAAAATCAAGGCCACGAAGGAAAGTGCAAGAACAGAGTAATTCCACGTTGACGCTGGGGGAAAGCACGGAGAGGCAGCGTTAGCATGCACAGAGCACTGTGGCCCACAGAGCCCGGACAAGCGTTTCCTGAGGATACCCAAGCTGACAGTACCATGGCTTGGCTGCAGGATGAGGGCAGAGGTTCTGGTGTCCATCTCAGCACCCAGAGCAGAGCACCCAGGTCACATTTTTGGGGATAACCTCAGGCAACTCTCCCTCCCTGGGCAGAAGACTTACACAACTGCTTTCTGCTGCTCACAGCCCCCCACCTCGGGTTCTGTATCTCTCACGCTGACCACATCTGCCATGCATGGCTTTTCAACCTTGCCCGAGAGCTGTGAGCGGCTGTGCCCACGGGTGGGAGCAAGGCTGAGAGCTGCAGCATCCCACCGTGAGCACTGCTAGAAGGGCTCCTCCCCTCTGCAGCCTTTCTCACCACTGCCACACTCAGGCAGGTAGATTTTGCCTTCGAACACTGGGATGTACAGCACAGATGGCAGTGGATGCTCTGCCCTTGATTTTTGTGGCTTTTAAGTTGATCCTCGGGGCACTGACCTGCTCCTATCGATCTGCTCCCTCCACCCTGCCAAAATCACTGGTCATCCCAGACCTTTGCTCTCTTGGCAGGCTATGCCTGGAAAGAGGCTGAACCCCTTTCTGGGAGGAGACACTATCTCAGTAAAGCCTCATGCCTGTCTTCACCCATGGCCTGCTTCTTCTGCAGGTGAGACTGAGGGTTTATATATCTGGGGTAAATCACCTCCTTGGGTAATTCCCTCGGGCATCTCTGTTAGGCAGGAGGGTTAACAGCCAAGGACTGTGTATCTCTATTTCAACTCTCAACCCAGGAACATCAATGGGACTTACGGTCTTCTCTGCGGAAGAACCAGAGCAGCTCCTCCAGCTCTTCTTGACCTATACCCAGCGCAAGGGTCGTGTTGCCTGCTGTGTGGCCATACACGAGTGTGCTGGCAAGGGCTGCAGGGAAGTACCTGTCCTGCTCTGCCTTGGCTGCGGAAGAAAAGAGCAGAAAGATGGAATGGCCGCTCACTGTAATACTTTGGGCCAGAAATGGCCTTCCCCTTGGCTCCAAGGGTTGCCCAGCACATCCCTCCAAGCAGGCAGATGCAGCCGTGAGGGTACAGCCTTATCTCATACACCAAGAAGTGTAGAGCGTTTCTGGCTCACACTGCAGATCCCATTCTGGTGGGGCACCCAGGGTTGGAAAGACCCCAGGACACTGAATGTGCCTTTCCACATTCCCCAGCAGTGTGTGTGCGTGTACCACTGGTCCCCGGGTGTGCGGCACTTACCTGCTTTCTCCTCGCACACGCTCCTGTCTGCAACATCTCGCCATTGGGCCTTCAGGCCTCCCACGCTATTGAGAGCAACTCCTTTCCTGTTTGCCACCAGGTAGCTCTGGCTGCTGCCCAGAGGAGAGAGCAGAGAATTTGAGCAGTCCCAGTTTGTGTAGCCCATGCTGCCGCAGAGACTTGTCTGCACTCTGTTGGCCCCCACCATGGAGAGGCAGCTCTGCGTGCCGTGATTCATCAAAGAATTGCCTTGCCAAGACCAGTCCTGGAAATCTGACTCTGGATTACAGTCCTCCAGCAGTAAATCCCCATTCATCAGGCTGGCTTGTAAACACAGCTTGACTTTAGCATTTTTCATCAGAAAAGCTTCAGTGTCTGCAAAGAAACCAGCATATGAGTGTGGCCACTCCCTAAGCACAGGACACATATGCTCACAGAGTGTATAGGGTAGATGGGAATGACACCCAATTCTGGAACTGGGAAATCAGCGTAAGGCAAAAGGCATTCAAGAGGCAAACTGCCTCCAGTCCAGCTTCTCTCTGCCAGGGCTGTTGGGCTCGTAGCTGAGCTTTCCCTAACCCATGCTTCTCAGCAAACATGGCTCAAGCACGTTCTTTTGGGTGGATCCTGGGAAGCCCAGCTAGACTTGCCCTTGTGACTAGTGCTGAGCTCTGAAGCTCTATTTGTAGCTGTTCCCCGGAGAAGAGATGACGGTAAGCTCCTCTCCTAGACTTGAGCTCTGCCGGGCCCCTTGGTGTGCTGGCTGGTGCCAGCCCACAGCACCATGCAGCCTGGCCCTCTGCCTGCTGATTCTGGGAGGTGGAAGGCTGCTCTCTTGGTTTGTTCCAAGAGGCAGAGGAGGCTCAGACCTTTGGTGAGCCTCATTGCTGGCTTCTCCTTTGCCTCTGGAGATGGACACCGTGATGTCCTGCTCCAGCTGGATGAACTAGGAACTGCCTCCAATGTCTCCGTTTCTGGGGAACCACAGCAGGGAAGGATTTAGGGCTCTGGTCTTTCCAGTTCTGCTGTCTAACCTTAAAGTTTCAGTTGGAACATCCCTCTGCACAGTGGAGGAGCAGATAGTCCCAACAGACATTGATATTCGGTTTTAAAAAATCAAATCTCCCTAAGTCAGGTGTCTTCCTAGGTGTCGAAGAGATTGCAACAAGTGCTGTGACCACAGGCTTAGGGTGCAACTTTCTCCATGGTTGAGTCAGGCTGCTGCTGTTGTATACTGAGGAAAAAGGGCCCATGGAGAGGAAGAAACTGTATTTCCAGAAAGCTAAGGTTTTTAATGCATGCCTTTGCCATAGTATTATCTATATGTGTTTGCCCTCAGACAGTGAGGCGTTCATAAGGTCATACAACAATGCTGGAAACTCTTGCACGTGTACATCCAACTCCCGTGAACCTACCCTGCAGACAATGTCTTGTAACCCCTGCTGAGCCTGGCGTGGGTGAGAGCCTGTGAAGAGGTGCAGCCTCAGCACGTGTGACCTACTTCACCCACACTATTATCCTCTAAGCCAAGACTCTACCTTGCAGGAGGAAAAATGGGATTATCCAGAAGAACTTCATATTTGTATGTGCAGCTGGGAAGGATCACGCCTTCACCAGTGTTTCTTCAGTGCGCAGATGCCTGGGAAAGAGAGAGAGCCAAGAGGTGAGGGATAACCTCGCAGCGTCCTCTACTAGCTCCCACCGTGCGGTGCCACTGGTTTTATCAGCGGGAGCCGTGAAGTTATACGAGTTATTACTCACAGGGACTGGATACAGCAGGCCAGCGTGTTTCTCCTCCGGTGTCTACAGGAGATGAAAGGAGACAAAAGCACAAGTAGAAGTGATGATCTTTGAAATGACTCTGCGCTCACGCTGATTCCCCTCCCTGCTCCAGCTCTGTATTCAGAGAGGGGATCTGATGTACCCCTGCAGTTGTGGCATGTTTTCTTCTGTTAACGTGAGTCTGAGCTGCCAGGACAGGGTGCAGACATCCTGGGAGCCATTGAGGTGATAGCAGAGTGGGTCTGGCACAGGGTCTGCTGCCTCGGGTTGGATGCCTTGCCTAGGTGACCCCGTGCAGATGCAAGCTCGGCTGCTGACAGCCAGCCCCTCCCCAGCTAACCTCACTGCTCCCCTCCTTGCTTGCCTGCCATAATCCTTAGAGAATACATACTTTGTGGACAGTGACTACCTGCTGCCAATCCATGGATGGCAGAATAAGGGTGTGGAGATGAGGGCTTAGCTCCAAGAGGAGGAAAAGCCAGCTTGCCATAGAGGCAAAGGCATCTCCCAGCTCTCAGGGAAGCAGAAGGCTCCTCCTTGACCTTTAGTCCCCCATTTGTCAGTGGCATCAATCCAGCTTTTATGGCTGCTTGTCCAACTCAGTTCTTCAGCCTCCTTTGGAGAGACCTGACCTGAGCAGAGGGTTCCCATCTGTCCACTGTGGGTTAGTTTGAGATGGTTAGGTGGCTCTCCCCAGCCCACTGCTCCACCACTGCTCACTGGCCCCATCTGAACCGTCACCCACCTGCAGGTGAATGACACCACAACACACGTGCTTCCCTCAGACATGCTGGCCCCACAGGCCATTGATTATTATATGAAGACTTAGACTTTTATGACTGTGTGAGACTCTCAACTTTTACCTGCCTTTGTAGTGTGGCCTGGCACTGTCTGAAACTGTTCCCTGGAAATCGCTCACGAGCACGTTCCACCACGCCAGGCGTGCCAACAACACTTCTGCTGACTCCTCAGGGAAGCATCTGTCCTATCGGTTATAGACCTAACGATTGCTACTATTCCCCCCCCCTTCTCAATGTCTTCACAATTCAAAGTTCACATTTTATAGCCAACCAGGCATGCAGGCTTGCTCCCTGCTGCCAGAAAACCACCTGTTAGCAATTCTTTGAGGACAGGACTCTGAAATACATGCTCCACTTTGACTCTGTATTTCAGAAAATATGGGTAAAGCTGCTCCCTGCAGTTAGGTATGCCAATTACCTTACCGTCCGGGTAAGCTTTAGCTTATTCACATGGATCACTCCTCAGAAAGGAGGAAATAAAGTCCTGGTGCCAATGAAATCAAGTTACAAGTCTGCTACACCCTAATAAGAAGTGCCACTTGAATGTGTTATATCTTGCTGTGCAAGGCTTCCGTCTAATCATTTGCTCGAACAGGAATATTTGACATGCATGTTGCTGATTTTCTCTTAAGGTGTTTCATAACTTGTGGGCCACCTCCTGGCGTCCACACTAAAGCTGCCATGCACAGCAGGGATGCTAGAAAGCTGCTAGAAGTACTTCACTACTTCATAAAGTAGTGACTGCCAAATCTCCCCCAGACGTGGGAGGCCGGAACTTCTCAGGTACAATACAGTAGCAGAATGGATATTTATCGTGCGTTAACAGGAAATTTAGGTAAAAGACTTTAAGGGAAACCTCAGGTATTTTAAAGATCTTTTACATCTACACCAAACTGACCAAACTAGTTTGGAAGGTTCATTCATCAGAGCTATAAAACAAAGTGTTCTTAGGCCAGCGGAGAGCCTGAGCAGGATCCAGCACACTGCCTGCACCACCAGTTTCCCCAGTAAGGAAACACAGTTCGGCTGGACATGCTCTGGAGAGTTTGGCTCTTCCAGCCTGAAAGAGAGATTTTTAAAGTCATCTCCTCCAGCTTCCCCCACACAGCTGCTCTGCCCCGCTGCTCACATCCCAGCGTGGGTGAGCACTGCTCCACCAAACAAGCTGAGAGAGCATGGGTGATGTCTTCACTATTGCTCCCTTGCCCACATGTTTCAGCAGTCACTCTGGCTGCTGTTGGATGGGGATGAGCCCTTAGATCTGGGCCTTTGACAACTCTAAGCTGTGGACTTCTGTCTCCTAGCCCTCTGAAGACACCCAAGACCCTTCTGAGGTTGCTTCTCAGCATGGGTACAACACAGGGAACTCAAATGAGAGAAAGCTCATGCATTGTAAGCTTGTATGGAAGGAGGTAGAAAGAACAAAGAGGCCAGCACCTCTCAAGGAAACATTTTAATTGTGCTATTTTGAGTTTATATTTACACCTGAACAATTTTGTAACTTTTTTCTTTTTGCAAATGAGATTTTCACACCAAAAGCTGCAAAATTTATATGCTGTGCATACTTCAGGAACAAAGAGCCACTTGCCAATGCTGTCCCAAATCCTCTCGTTCAAAATGAGGATCTGTGGGCTTTGGTGGCATCCTATCAAATCTCAAGAAAGTACAGAAAAATGGCAAGTGACTCTTTTTTGCTTTACATATTGATCCCAGCACTTAAATGGTAAAATTCTTCCTCATGATGGAAGCCTTTGGAGATATGAGACCCACCACACGCACAAGGCAGAGCTGAGGGATTGGTGCTCTAGAGGTTGGCGTAACCCGGCGAGGGGCCTGTCCTGTGCGGGAACACGCGCGTCCCCAGCTGCATGTGGACTCTTTCCAGCCAGGGCACAGCACGCAGTGCTGTGAAACCGCCATGTGCTTTGCATGTTGGTTTTTATCAGGTATAATACTCGAGGCTGCTTACCAAGCCAGATGTTGCCCTCACTCTGCAAATGAGAAGTCTTGAGATACTTACTATATTGATATAAGTAAAGATGGGGAAAAAAAGTCTTCTGGAAAAAGACCATCAAGTACAGCTTCTGTTAAGATGATAATGTCCCTCTGGACACTACTCGCTACACAATATGGGGCAATGCACTTATAATGTCCCAGTCTTTGTAAAACAGTCTCCTCTTTTCATTCAGACTCTCTTGCTGGTGGTTACCTCATCTTAACTGATTGTGTTAAAATGTGTCAGTTATTCCAAATATATTATAAAAGTGGGATGCCCTGTCTTTGGTATTCATAGAGGATATACAATGGCACACCACAGAAATACAAATGGATGGGCTGGTTTATAAAGGTACATTAAGGATCAAGTTCATTTAAAGAACACAAGAAAAATGTTTAATATTTAAAATACTAAAGCAAGAAGGCAGTCTGTACTATTTTTTAACCTTTGTAAAGTCAAAACTTAAAGAGCAAATCTGAGTTATATTAAATATTTTCCTTTGACTGCTTTCCAGGCTGTTTATATGCAGGAGTTATCCCAGCCTGCTTCTCACTTGCCATTCAGTCTCTCCTTAAACAAGTCATACAG